GAACCACGACTCGCTACCTTTAGACGATCACACAGATCGACGGAGTATTTGGTAGCCGACCAACAAGAAGTCGACCATGGACGGAAGCTGGCAGTAGCAACGTGGTAACTTAACCGGATTCTCCGTTTGAATCCAGACCTACAGGCTCTGTACCTGGAGATCAACCGCAGTCTCCCCGGACGACATCGGGTAAACCAGCCGATTCACCGGTGACCACGACTACGCGCGTCTTCGAACGTGCTGCCATTCCCTGAAGAGGAACAGCGACGGTGATTTGGATACTGGTGTACCAACGACTCCGCCGCGACCTGCTTCCCCATGTCTCCAATGGAACATCCTAGGCAGACCGTGTTAGAATACGCGATCTGCACCCTCTTAATGAACCCCGCTGACAAGGATCATGCGGCCGCAACAAAAGTGGCAGCATGGCCTTTGTCAGCGGCAAAGAAAATTTCCCCGTGGACATGAGTCGTCTACCCCCAACAGAAGCGGCTAGGCGTCACAGGTTCGCGACAAAACAGAATGGAAAATCGGATCTGACGACCTCAGGGACTTGCATGTGCATGAAGTTTAAACCAAAGAGCTCGGCTCGGCAACCGGGGCCACAAAGACCCTTAGCGTTGTGAGCGAGCGCAGTGCATGATGAAACGCCAGTCAATCGGCCAACAGATGCCGGAGGAAAACCTTACCTCGCAGGACTGGGCGACCCAGAAGCAAGCAATTCGGATTGACCGACCTCAACAGTAGCTCGGATCCGACCTGGAGTTCACGTCAGAGATCACAGAAGGAACGGAGTTGTGCTGCCGAACATCCCTCTGCCAGTCCGAACTGACCGAAGGATGTCCTGACACTACGGACCCGGCCAACTGTAGCCGAACGCACAGAACTCCTAAAATGAAGTCGACAACCACCAGATGGAGGTCGGAAGTAAGCGACAACAGCTCGGAAAACCAACCAGAAGTACGAAATCGACCTCTCAGTGGAAGAACTTACATTCCCGGCGGATAGACACAAAGTTTATCCGACCTTGGGAAGTCGGAAAATAGCCGACCTCCGAACTCGGACATGGATATCCGACCTCAAGCCGAGGTCGGAAGTGACCGTACACAAGTCGGTAGGGTACGACAACAAGTCGGCAAAGACATTCAGAAGTCGAGAACCGACCTCCTAACGGAAAAATCCGACCTTCGGACGGATGGAAACATAGTTCATCCGACCTTCCGAAGTCGACTATAACCGACCACATGTCGGAAGTCGGCAACTCAGTCAACATGACGGAAGAAGAACGACAGATATCTGCGGTGGACGAATTCGACTTGAAGGAACTTGTTTAGCCCCACATGGGCATGTTATTGCAGGTTAACCCTAGTCGACCACTGACGGATAGGATAACCGACCTCGACAGAAGGTCGGATAACAACGGAACAGATTGGATGGAAGTCGACTGGACACTTCCATCGATGAAACTCATGAATTCCGACCGGACCTTCGAGCCAGTTCGACTCGGATTACTACAAACCAGGCTCGTGGTAGCAGATTGAACGGTTGTAACCGACCACTTTTGAACGGAACTGCTGTACATGACGACCACACAGGCCGCATGACTCACTTACAGCTTTCTCCGACCTGGACTTTAGCAATTCGGAACATAGCCGAATTCCCTTAGCCGCCGGTCGACTTACCGGTAGGCCGACCTTGGTCAAACCGACCTCGGTTCTATTCCCCATTCAGAGAGGATGCCTCGGCATTTGCAACCGCAACAGTGCCTCTCTATCCCGAACGGACGGATACGAGTCGGAAGTAAGTGTTTAACCGTGCTTATCCGACCTCGGTGAATTTAACCGGTTACAACGGGTAACCCGGGAACCGATGCCCCGGACCCAACTTACCGGATGAAAGCGGACAGGAGACCCCGTGGACGTCATCCTAGTCGGAATAGGACCCCCGGACAGATTTTTGCATTCTTTTAGCATTTCTCCTAACAAACGGAATTGTATTTTTCTAGTTCGATCTCTTTGACAGATCTGTTTTGTAACCCCTTTTGCTCACTGGAATTGTGATTAAACTTTATTTCATACTTTCTTTCGCGCTGTATACAACTTTCATTACACTTTTCTTTCACATTGTTCTCCGTTGCCAACAGAAGCAAGAAGCCAGCCAACAGAAGCAACACCGGTCCAACGAAACGCCCGAGCGGCTTCCGGATTTCTCGGCCGTGAGTGGCTTCCACTCATGGGTTCGGAAGTGAAGAAGGGACGGTCGACCAGACACCGGACTCCCACTGCCAGAGGACGCGTACCAGCGACCCCACATTGGGTCCGACTGGAGAGTTGTGCGGTACTGGTGCGGTACCGAGTCGGAGCATCCTTCGCAGGAGCTCGGATTCCCGCCCAGAGGCATGTCAGAGGCACATGACTGCGCCTGGTGCATACGGCCCACCATGGACGTACTGCACTCATGCTTGCCATACCGCCTCTCTCGCTGTACGTACGTGTGCTGCTGCACTGCACTCATACCCGCTGAAGCGGATATATGCGGCGCACACACTGAGCATACTTGCTCTCTCGTCCCTCTCTCGCTGTATGACTCAGCGTACGCTCGCGTTGGATTGAGTCCAGTCTGCGCATCATCACACAGCTGATGGCACACAGCACGTGCTTGCCGCCAGTTGCTTCTTTCACGCCTTGACGAACGCTCAAGAGCTCTTCTAGCATTCACTTGCTTGTTAGCCATCAGTGCTTTGTTTTGCTTTCCCTGCTATTACGCAGCATTGTTCCCTTTATTTGTACAATAAAGCACACTCGTGATCTCCTCGCGCTTGCCTGTTACAACGTGATGTTTTGAACAAACTCTTCAATAAACCAAGCGATAAAAAGGGAATACACAAAACGATAACCTAGCTGTTAGGGATTCTCAAATTCTGCAGTTCTCTCTCTACTTCTGCTCTCCTGCAACCTTAAGTTAGCAATCGAATAAAAAATTAAATAAAACAATCAATTTGAAATTCTACAAAAACATTCTGATATTTCGCGCCCGGACATTCAAAGTACATCCATTTCCCAGTTTTAATACGTTTTGCAGCAAAGTTATTTCACAACAGACAGCGTGCGGATCTGAAAGTCATCTAGCGGCTACAGTTCATACATACAAACTGTATAGAATAATACTGTAGCCGCCCGCACAAGTTGCCCCACAGAGTGAGGTATACGGATATTTGGCCTCACATTGCTCGCTGTTCAGCGCAGTGTGTGCAGGGAGAAGGCAGCGGCCGGATCTGCCAATGGAGCAACTTGTGCGGGCGGCTACAGTAATTTATTCAATAACGAGAAGTTTAATAAATGCCGGCTTTCCAACCGCAGTTCCAAAATATTGGATTTCAGTTCAAGCAGTTATAAATACTTAAGCTGATACGATAATGATCTTTGAAACAGGGTGAACACTATTGCTGGCATTCCCGGGATGTTATCATTCCCACATTGATAACGCACTCTATCTATAATCACGAGTCAAGGTAGCGGCTTTCGGGGATGACAGTGAATGCCGGCTATCATTGAAGCCGCTAAGCGGGCGAAGGGCTGGCCAGTGACATTTTGGTGTGGACCAGTGATTACGGGGCAGAGAGCATACCCAGCACGAATGGACCGCCCCTGTCATAATTTCATCATTTCTCGGAGATTAAGAGTAGCAGCACAGCTGTCAAGTGTTTACCTTGGAAATATTTCACTTGTCTCTCTCGCTCGCTCTCTCTTCGTCTGGCATAATTTCAATGGCCGTGATGAATATGTATCATACCGCCCCTGCTGTTGCTTGCTCCCCGATCAGCTGTAGTTAGCTTGAGTAAGACCTTGGGCGTGACAGTCGTCCGGAACGCGGATCGAACAGCCGGCAGACTGCCCGATTGGCTAATTACGCTCTGTAGATGTCGGCTTGACTGTGGAAATCTGTTTCACTGGGCGTAGTGCTTGTGCTATTTGAGGAAATAATCAATAATGAGATGTGGTGTTAAATATGCATTAGAAAATCGTTTTTTGATTTAATGACATTTTGACCAAAACGGGGTGCGGGTTCTACATTTCGAAATAAAAAATAATTTGAAATAATAAATAATTGATATTTTCAAATAATAAATTTTAAATTCTGACAACTTAGAATAACTAAAATTTTGAAATAATGATGCCGCGCAATTTTTACTGCTGTTTGCTGACTGAATACTCGCCGACCAGTGCTCGAAAATGTTACTCGATCATATTTGTTTGTCTTTTGATGGTGTGCCCGCCCATCGTCTATAATCTTCAATGGCATTATGCGAATATCGATACCCGTGTAATTATATGCGTTTACTACAACTTTGACTTATCTTCTAGCATCTCTGTTATAAATAGCTAGCGTTACAAAAGGCGATGCTGGTAATGAGCGCATTCTACCGATTTTAAACTCCCACTTTTGTTTCCAAAACCAGTGGTACTTGACAACTGACACCAGCTTTTGCCGAACAAGGAACGCCCCTCATTAATAATGGACGCCGACATTATTATTCATGGACTGGGTTTAGGCAAAGCCATTCATCCAGTGGCACTGCATATTCATGGTGAGGCTGTCGATTAACGCACTGCATTAACAGTGCAAGGCGGAGTCACGCAACTGTGCATCTCTGTCATAAATCACTCTATCTGTATCTGAGACCGCCGGTGAATTGTATTGGTCGTCCAGTCTGAAGTTCCATAAACACACGATCACTGAAGGCAATAATGGGCGTAGTCAACTTTTGGAACATCCCAGAGTGTTGGTTCAGACTTCAGAATGTTAGACTGATATGCTTTCATGTCCATTCGCAACAACAGTTCACCATTCAGCCGGATAAAGCAATCCCAAAAGTGTGTTTCTCTTTCCGCCAGTTTATGCAGTCGAGATTCTAAATTTTCCACACCATAATAATATTAATTTTATCTGTAATTCTTGACGAAGTTGAAGTTGACATAACTCCCACGGTTATTACGACCATGTACAACAGCGGAATACGACCGTTTAATCACACCTACGCGTCGGCTCCCTGTGAGATTTATCCCGGCAGCAACGTCTACCAATGGAACGCGGTGGATGTGCAGAATGCCGACGGACTCCTCGAGCGCGGTCTGGTCATCAACACCGTCCACCGCGGTCTGCTCGTAGATTTCGGCGTTTCCGACCGACGCTCGCAATTCGTCGAATTCAAAAAGGCACTGTTGTGCCTTAGTGCTGACGAACGGTGTTTAACAGCCTCCCAGAACTTTGCCTGGGAGTCCAACGCGGCGTCCCAGACCAGCTGCCATGTCCTCGCCCGTACCGCGGCGGACCGCCCGTGGACGTGGTATCCGGCAGTGTTTCTGCTGCACCGGGTCTTCTGGAATAAATACGCCTATATTCAGATCCACATGGGTGATGAAGTTGTGTGGAAGTTCGTCCGCGCTCAGGTAGTTCGGCTAGCGCACCGTGACAGCACGGTGCGCCGTACCGCACCGGCGGATTTTGTCGTGCGGGCATGTACTCTGCCGCGGGAGTATCTAACGGAACGACCGGTGGCACCGGCGTTGTGGAGTCTGTGGGAGGAAGGGCTGATGTCGCAGCGCGTTTACAAGGCGTATCCTATCGGTGTGGTGAATGAAAGCTTGCTGTATCTCCAGGATCGATGTCGACTGCAAAGCAGCTTTGTGAAGAAGGTCTTGCCGATATCCAAGGATTTACTGGTAAGACCGTATTTCGAGAAGCATAAACGAATGTTCGGATTTCGTCACAGAATAAACCCGTTGAGCACAAGTTTGAACTTCCGATGAAAGTCTTATCGCTCGCATATCATACGTAACTGGTACACGTTATTTTAAGCATTTAAGAAACAGCCAACATTTTTTTCTTCCCTTGGATAAAATGGCAAAAAGCAAAGCATACAGTTGTGGCACTTCTTTAAATAACCCTTTCCTTCCTAACGCTTCCTTCCTTTCCTTCTTTTAAATAACGCTGTTTCTTCCCATTGATATCAAAGTGATACCGTGTAGGACTTTTACTCCTGTACCTGAACGCAGCCTGGGAATTTTGATTTTTCAGTTTTATTAGCGAGTTTAGATGTTGAGGCCCATTTTACAAAGCTAGACCGCTAAGTATAAGTCTACGGCACACTCGCCAGTGGTCATCAAAGTCGGCCATTTTTTTATATCATGGGTGACCGAAGGTCGCTAACACCTCCTGGCCATTCGCGTGATGGGAAAAAATGTAAATAAATGAATTAGGTAGTTGACTTTATGTGTTATTTGACACAACTTAAATTTTGGTAATATGTGAAATGGGTGACCCCTGGTGATCTTTTAAAAAACATGGTATCATTTTGACAACAACGGGCAGTTTGGTACAATACATCCAAAATACAAGATTTTCTAGTAAACTCAGTATAAGTCCCAACATTCTGCAGGTTGGTATTCCAAGACAACCTTTTATGGGCTTTCAACAGGAAGTGTTTCGGTGGTCATCGAAGTGACCACCGTCCAGTTGCGAAAATGGATGCCCCATGCAATAGATATTTTTTTCTATTTTTGCTGCCGAAACTTATTTTCGCAGGACAACATGCATGCATACAAAGGTGACAAGCAAACGGTGGTCAGTGGTCACTTAATCGGCACTTCGGCAGTGTACGTTTATCAGCGTGCGCTATACCGTAGAATACGAGCGCATAACCCGCAGGTATACGCAAAAATTTCCGGTTACTTATGAAGGCTATTGCTCTAACGTCCAGGAAAGCGTCCGAAGCTTGACCACCGACTGCGGGCTAGTAGTAGCTACCTTCTATAGTGGTCAGCAAAGCTTGCTGACCGTTCTGACACGAGCGTGGTCTGAGGTAATCAAGTTAACCATGGGCTTTTGGCGTTAATCATGGACCGGAAATCAAACACCGATGCGATTTCGCCCCTTTGTGCTATAATTTTAGCTGTGTGACGATTGAATGCTCTACTAGTGACCCGCAGCGTTAACTGGACAGTGTCCAGTATTCCCGCAGACGGTTTTTGATTTTTTTCTGTACAGTTTCTGTACAGCTAAACGATTTGTCGCAGTCAGATGTATTATTGTGTTGCTGACCGGTGGCCATTTCGACGGCCACTAATACTATGCTCACAAATAGCCCTTTGAAAACTGTCTGGGTTAAAACGTTTGTTAGCCAAAAATATTTTATATTTCAACATAAATAAACAAAAATTAAATTTGTCACGCGTACCAATCCGCCCGTTGTGGTCAAATTGATACCATTTTGCTGTAGCTGATCTATGGCTAGCAAAATTCTGAAAAAAATTTGATTTCTTAATTGAATTATTGTATCGACAATTCTTAATTTTCATGGTCTAATTCGAACGGGATCGGGTACCAGGAAGTCCTGGGTTAAGTAATACTCCGGAAACCTGGAAGCGACGTTGGGATTTTTCTGTTAGAGCTAGATAGTATAAAACAATTCCTTATTTCGCCAAACAAATTCACGTAGCAGTGGTTTGTATTTAACACAATGCAATTTTATTCACTTTCCTTTGAAAAATAATTCGTAGTCTATAAACAGCAGCAGCACCGAGGCAGTTCCGTGCTTTTCGAATTTCTTTTATTCTTGAACCGTGTGCCACTGCGTTTGTCATTAAATAATTTTTTTCAGCACGAACTGAATGAGCGAGCTAAGGCGGAAATGGCGAAGCGCTTACAGACCGGCTGGAATAATATTGATGGCCAGTGGGTACCACCCCGAATCTGCGCTCCTCTGCGTACCATACCAGCACAAAAATCTCGCCAACTGGCTGCATCTTGCCCGCCGGAGCTCTTGCGCGAAATCCTCTCCTGCTTGTCTACAAATGTACGGCCATTCTACCGTCGCGTCAGTCCGCTGTGGAACGAGATCATCCAACAGGCTGATTGCTCTCGGTATCTGACGCTCGACTTCGGCAGTGCCGGTCCCAGTGCGACATACACCGCCGGCGTGTGCATCATCCAGTGTCTCACCGCCGCCACGCGGATGATCGTAATAATCAGTGCCCAACAGAACTACAGATCGCCGGAGCTTACTGAATGTCTGCGCTTGGTTAGCGTCATGTACGAGCAGTGCGCCAACAGGATCAGAAAGTTGCAGGTGAAGCCTAAAATGATTGTACGGCCAAAATCTTGCAATTAAATACAAGCAATAGATCAAAATTAAATTGCTCTCATACCCACACTTCAGATAAAGAATAACCCCGTTTGTTATCCTTACCCAAAAGGTTTTTTTTGCGCCAAAATGGGTCGGACCTACTCTGTATTTGTAAGCTTCGCATGAAAACCAAATTTCCTGGTAGCGCTTTGAGCAATATAATAAATGGCGGACTGGAAATATTGCTTTGAACTGAGAAATTATTAATACCAGGAAATGACGACGACGCAATTTAACGGAGTTTCAATCGTGTACTTTCCTTCGTCTATTTATGGACTAATTTTATGATGTACATATTAACAGATATACATTAACATATAAACATATACGTACATATAAGCAGCAGATATACATTATTGGACATACATATAAACAGCTGATGAAGGTCAGTATTACATTTGCAATGTCATTCGTTACCGCTGAACTACTGTTCAGTTTAACGGCACCATAGCTCAAGAGGCGAATTCTGATGTCTAACTTCCCACAATTAAATACGTGACTTTGTATCACACACAGTCACACATGTTGTATCCACTATTGCGTCATGTGAGATCCGGCCCTCTTCGTAGGTGATAGTCAACCGGTCCCTATGGGATCTGGGTGAGCATCAGCTCCCGGCGGAGGTGCAGCTGCTTGCCGAGACCTCTGTCGCCGTGGCAGCCGCCGTGGAGGGCATCATTTGGCACAACTGCCGCTTTTGCGGTATCGGCGGCCAACAGAACGAGATCTTTGTGACGCGTGACGTCACCGCCATTCGCGGCACACTATTAGAGATGCAGACGGACCTGTATGGACTGTTGGAACGGCAGCTGCCGCTGGCTTCCATGGACTTCTTCAGTATTGCACGGTGGATTGCCAGGGAGGCACGGTTGAACAGGGCGACAAGCAGCTGCTACAAAATCCTAAGGGTAAATGGCCAACGCCAGTACGGTAGGACTTCTGCTCAGTTATTATGGTAATGTGTTTCTAGATTTTACTAACGAACCAATGCAACGATCCTCGTCTGACAAATCGCTACCGTGGGAAATCCAGTTGGACGGCAGATGAGCTGTGCCGTTTAGATATGGCGACGTTATCCACACTGACGTTGTGGGTGTTGAACCGGGCGATGCCGCCGCAAGCGCAGGACGTTCAGGGACCATCAACCGAGGCGTGTGACCTACCCATGGACTGCTGAGCTGACACACAGTTCTATATATTGCTCATAAACTGCTGCAACCCGTTCATAGATAAAAAAAACGTTAGCTTGACCTATTACTGCATCATGGTCCAGCTGGATTCGAAATCGGTTTTGCCTCTTGTGAACAGTTCCAACAGTACAAAGTCCCGCCAATAGGTTTACCGTTACAGTTGTTGCATGTTTGTAAATAACATTTTGTGGAATAATTCAGTACTTACTTGTAATTAATTATATTTTAATTATAATATTCCTTGTTGTCAATTAACGCCATGCAGCGAAGCAAACCGCGTACCGTTATGTGGAGCACACGCAGCGGAATGCGGCAAAAACTTTACCGAGCCTGTTAACTGACTGGGCCAAAACTGGCTAAGGACTATTTTACGCAAGATTAATTATAAAATTTCCAACGGCAGCAGAAATGTTAACGATATCTGCGTGCAAGTATGAAGTACCGGTACTTTTTCAAGTAGTGAGCGTTAAACCAGTGAAACTACTAAATCGATGCACTAAATATCTGTTAACACTTTAAATATTAACTTAAGATACCCAGTAAGGTCACCATATTAATTTTATCCAAAAAGGAGAAAGCCAACCTAGGTATATCCATTTTGCGTTCCTTTTAAAAAACAGAGTTCATGTCATCGGGCTTTGTAAAAGTGCGCAATACAGTACGCTTGTACAGCTTTGACTTTTAATAAGCTTCACATACAAGTACATACTGCAAGTACTACATTTCCTCATTGACCATGAGCGGGTGATTGTAGCAAACATCTTTGTCGCTGACCTTATGACCTTAGTAAAACGCACGTCAAAAATGATCGCTGGACACTGGTTCTAATATTTTATGTTTTATACAAACAAGTTCTTTCCGCACCTAAACGAGTACGGTGTCGGTAACCTTATCGAGCGCGCACAGGAGTGCAGTTCCTACAAATTTTAAAGCCATTTAATGCTGAAAGCATTATATGTCGTTAACGCAGAGCTCTCGTAGTACTTAGCAACGAGGCACGCATAAATCGGAGAGGGGTTCGATGTGTAACGCAAGTGCTCAGCATTCATCGTATAAACAACTGAACACTGAGACTTCGTAAAATTTCGCGCAAAAATTCGCACAAATTTCGCGTAAAATTGAATTTTATTTGAACCCCGCCCATGCTGGAGCGGATTTCCAGCGTGTTGCACATCAGTCCTTGATCGAGAGAGAAAATGTATACAGTACTATCATCGATACTGGAAGAACCACACATGACCGGATTTTCCTAGAGCGATCCCCATACAGTTCCACTTATATTTTCGCTCGGATGGGATTCCGTGCAGGCTGGCTGCCTCAATCAGCGTTCGAGGAATTGCAGCGCACATACCGGCATTATGAGCGAACACGATGCCCGTCTGAACATCACATTCTTTACGTCCGGACAATGCCAGAAAACACACTTGCCCGAATTCGACCCCGTGGCCGTCCGGAGGAGACAAAAATTACGCAACAGTATATAGAGAATCTACACCACAACCACGAGCTTCTGTTTTCCTCACAGAAACCCCCCGGAATAGTTTCCGTTCACATGGTCACCAACGACGGCGATGTTGAACTACTTGCCGATACTATGCAGAAGATCGTGGCGAAGCTAGCACCGTCAATGATAACCTCCTAAACGGCCGTACAGTATAAACGTTATTTTCACTTATTCCTTCTAACCAGTTCTTATGATTATAACTACTTAGTATCATTATTATATCATC